TTAGAGACGTGGGGACTTCTTCAGCCAATCCTCTTCGCTTTCTGCTCGATGTCATCTCTCTGCTTCATTTTCTGTTCCTTGCACTAATATTGTTACAGCTTGCAGCTTGTTGTGCAGCTTCCCATGCCACAGTCTGCCAGCTATTGCTTGCACCCTTTTTCTTCTTCCTTATGCAGCCCCAGCAAAGAATCTCTCCTGGGGTGAGCTCTGCCCTGATGTGTTGACTCCATCTCTCCTGCAGTGAACGTGGTTCTGGATCCAGACACAGCCCACTGCGACCTTGTCCTGTCTGACGACTGCAAAAGTGTGAAACGAGAAGACACGCGGCAGGACATCCCCGACATCCCTGAGAGATTTAACCCGTGGCGCTGCGTGCTGGGCCGTGAAGGCTTCACCTCAGGGAGATGCTACTGGGAGGTGGAGGCAGTGGATGGAGGAGGATGGACTGTGGGGGTCTCTAGAGAAGATGTGAAAAGGAAGGGCGAGATTGAGTTTAAACCGGAGGAGGGCATCTGGGCAGTGGGGCAGTGGGCAGGGCATTTCCAAGCTCTCACATCCCCTAATCGTACTCTCCTTCCTGAAATCCAGACTCCCAGGCGGATCCGGGTCTCTCTGGATTATGAAGAGGGACGGGTGGCATTTTTCAGTGTTGACGAGGAGATTCCTATCTTCACATTTCCACTGGCATCATTCGAGGGGATGAGAGTCCACCCTTGGGTCTGGCTGGGTCCTGGGACGTGGCTCAAAATGTGGCCCTGAGTAAGGGGAGGGAGTAAGAGAAAGCTTTTTTAGGGGACCTCAGGAGTTCAGACTCACAGAAGGATTTAGGTTGGAAGGAACTTGTGGAGGTTTCTGTTGCAACCACCTGCTCACAGCAGGGCTAACCTCAAAGCTGGTTTAGGTGTCTTTGGACCTTGTTCAGCTGAATTGTGTAGGAACTCCAAGGGTGGAGATCTCGTTACCTCTCTGGACCTCTGTCCCAGTGCTGCACCTCTCTCAAGGGGAAGAATTAACCCGTTATGTTTGGTCAGAGTTTTTCCAAGTGCAACTAGTTACTGTCACCTTTTATCCTTGCTCTCTACCCTTTGAACAACACTTCAACTGAAAAGATACTCCCGCAACAGGGATCACTTTTTAAATGTACAGAATAAAGTTACTTCAGTGGGATTTATCTGTATGTGTGTCAGCACCAAATGTCTGTGTGTGAGGCATTGTCTCCATCTCCTTTTAGCCTGTGGAGAGTTGCAGGCACTTTTGAGAAAATGGTTCACCGCATCTTGCAGGAGACAATGAAGGCATGTCAGTGGGATCGGTCCATGGCTGTTCTTGTCCCCACACCTGCCTGCAGCACAAGCCCAGGTGACAAGCTCACCTGTGACCAGGAGACATCTAACACTGTGAGATGGATCCTACTTTTGGTTGCTCATTCTGGGGGAGGAAAAGCTGCTTTTGCTTACAGTGCTGAGGAGCCTGGAGCAGGCTCAGAATGTCCCATGTGGGCTGAAACGAAGCTGGAGAAACCAAAAATTCATCTGAAGAAGGGCATCTCATATTGAGGCATGTTTTTGGGCAACTCCAGATTATTTTGCTGTAGTGGAAACTGCTACCTGCAAGGGGAGGATAGAAGTATGTGCTTCCTCTGAGGCCAGACATGCTTTTGCACCAGATCCTCCATTCAACTGAAATCCAGCAAGCGTGGACCTTCCCAAGGGCAGGCTTCACCATTACTGCTGAATTCATGGGCTTCTTAGAAATGAAAGAGAATGCACTTGCGTGTGTGCCAGGGTAGGTCTGTTCATGCTTAGCCCAGGGCAGCTCCATCCTCCCACCATGGAGGAGCCCGGAGCTCAGAGATGCTATTAGGGCACCTTTCTCTCCAGGCCTGCCCAGCCCCCAGGAGTAATGCTCCCAGAGGTTGGTAGTCGCGTGTCAGCTTTGTTCCTTGCTGTGCACAAATCCACACAATGCAGCAGATGCCAAATCAGCTGTGAGGCCTGCAGTAGCTGAGGGGCTTGTCGAAGGACCCAGTGACAGAGCGCTCCAAAGCCTCCTGTGAACAGTGTCACAAGTCTACAGGGACAGGCAGCATGAGGGTGGCATCTGCTGCCAGGGCTCTGAAGAGTGGTTAGATGTTCGTGTCCCTAAAGAAGGCTGGTGGGAAGGTGAAGCTACAGATCCTGCTTTCTGCACTGGAGCAGCAGCACCGTGCGTCTCAAGCAGGGGCAATGCAGTTGCATGTCGCTATGACCCTCAGGCACCATCACCTCATGATCTCCTTCCTGTTTCCCAGAGTCACATACGGTGTTGGTGAGGTGCTAAAGGAAGTGGAAGCAGCCTGGATCACCTTGTTCCCTCCAAACATCCACTTGAAACAGTCTGTGGGTGAAATCAAGGTTGGGGTAACAACCTCATGGGAGATTGACCCTCAGGGTGTGGGAACAGGCTCTGGAGCAGGGGAGGAAGCTGATGGGCAGGATAAAAAGGTGAACCTAGGACAAAAATGAAAGAGTAGACTGCAAATGTGGGGCAAAAACATCGTCGCTAGCAGGATGGCTGACGTAACCCTCATCTCCCTCTTGCCTTCACCTGAGAGAAGCAGGTTCAGCAAGGAGACACCGTCCCTGCTCCTTTGCTCTCCCCATCTGGATGTCAGGACCCCAGGATCTCTCCTGGCCTCCTACTCACTGCTCATAACCAGCCATGGGAAGAGTGTGCCTGCAGATGACTCCTGACCTGTGCACCCTTTCCTCTGGTACAGTGTGCCCCTTCCCCTTCAGCAAGACTTGTGGCAGTGGACTGCTTGGGTCTTCTGCTCCTTCTCCTTCAGGGAGTGAAGCAGGAGGGGTGAAGGACCTTTTGAAGGTTCAAAGTGTCCTAGTGCGTTCATTCACCTGGAAAAGGGAGACAGAGAGGCAGAAGCAATGATAAGGGCTGTGGGTTGGGAATGTGGGGCCGTGGCATGGAAGAACGACTGGTGGTGTCATGGGGGATGCTGTAGGCCCAAGGTAAGGGTAGGAGTAGTGCTGTGGAGGACGGGAAGCCACATGCAGGCTTAATCCCTGGGATCCTATGAGAAGGCCAGGGTTACATTTGCTCTCTCCCTTCCTATCCCCTGCTTTCTGTTGGAAATCACTGATGCAGAGCCAAAAACAGCCCCCCAAGTTCTGCCTCTGCTGCTGCCTCCAGCCCTCTTACTACAAGCGGAACTACAATGCCCTTGCAGTGAGTGGGCTGGGGGTGAGGGAGAGGCTGGGAGAGGACACAGGAAGGACAGCTGACCCCAATGGACCAGAGGGATATTCCATACCATGCAGCGTCATGCTCAGCAATAAAACTGGGAGGGAGGGAGTTTTTCGAAGGTACCATTGCTCAAGGACTGGCTGGGCATTGATTTGCTGGTGGGAGGCGGTGAGTGAATGCTTTTGCATCACTTTTTTTCTCTCTTTCTTTCCTTCATTCATTAAACTGTCTTTATCTTGACCCACAAAGGTTTTTTTGCATTTTTGCTTTTCCAGTTCTCCCCCCGCCATCCTGCTATAAAGGCAGTGGGCGAGCGGCTGGTGGGTGCTTAGCTGCTGGCCGGGGTTGACCCACCACAATCCAAGGAACGGAAAACCAGTAGAAAACCAATATCTCCCCTCCACTGTAGCATCTCCCCTTGCAGCTTTTTGGTGACCCTCCACCCTGCAGGCCAAGATGCTCTGCAGCGATCTATGAGTCAGGGAAGTGGAGACAGCTCGGCTGCAGAAATAGATAGCAGGAGGAATTGCAAAACCGAGCTCCTTCCTCTGCTTCTAATCTCCTTGCCTGGTCTGTGCTGCGGCTTCTCCCGTAAATGTTAAAGCTGTCTCTCATATCTCCAGAAGAGCCATCCCCATTTTTCCTGGCAAGGCAGAAAGAAAGGATCCCTCGTCTACACCACAAACAACTAGCTGAGGTAATGTGCAGAAACTGTTTCTCACTGGTATGCCAACTAGGCTGCGGTTCCCAGGTTGAGGTGCCTTAAGGATCAAAGCCCAGAGCATGCTGAGGAGGAAGGTGCAGACATTGTGTGAAAAGGGACCCTTTTCCCAGGATGTAAAAAGGTACGGCACTGGGGGCAAAGGGGCATGCCAGGGCTCCTCCTGGGTGCAACTCTCCCTCCTTTACTGCACAGAAGCAAGAAATTATGGAGCCAGTCTCTGGTTGAGACTTTTCCAAGGAGACGGTGTGGCAGTGCAGTTAAAGCGAGGGCTGTGCTGAAGGACAGGAGCTGCGTTTGGCTGCTCAGGAAGCCACAGCTCCCTTCCCACAGCTGTGCATGCTGATAGAGAGCCTGGGCAGCCCCGCCACTGGCACTGTTGCCAGAGCAGCGCCGGGTCCTAGGGCAGGAGGGAGGCAAAACAGCAGGAGAGCAAACGCTGGAGGGTCCATGGGTGAGTCCCAGGGAAGCAGTGTCCTTTGGAGGTCGGGCAGTCGGGGTAGCCACGTCTGTGCATGGGAATCTCTTTTCACATGATTCATGCTCCTACCTTGTGAATCCAAATCAAGGAGAGGGCTCAGCTGGCGTTGGGTAAGAGCATATTCAGGGAGCCTCTTCCAGCACACGGCTTTTCTGGGCTGGGGTGAGTGTGGGATGTGAACACTGCGGAGCCACTGCTTTTCCAGTGGTGAGGGCAGCAATGCCACCCCAGCAGAGGCAGCACTGCCATGAGGAGGCGTGTGAATCAGGTTCTCCCTCCCACGGAGGAGGATGAGGTGAACAAAAGGCCAGAGATGGTGTCTCTTTGCTGAGCCTGCTGCCCTTCAAGGATGAGATCACAGGCTGAGTGCTGGCAGTAGGTGTGGGACTCACCTCTCCTTTCCATCCTCCCAGGGAGGAGCTGTGGGGCTCAGAGGGCTCCCAGAGGGTCTGGCGGGGGATGCCAGCTCTGTTGCAAATGGTGCTTGTGCGTGAAGAAAGCTGACGTGTAGGTGCGTGCCTGCCTATGCCCACACCTCTCGGCTCTCCCCTCCAGGCCATGCAGGTCCTTGCCCTGCTCCCGCTCATCCTTCCGGCCCTGCTGCCCGCAGCCAGCACTACTGACCCAGGCCAGCCCTGCCTGTCGGAGATGAACAAGGTCAAGGACCTCCTGGAGGTGAACTGCACAGGGCAGGCTCTCAGTGCAGTGCCCCCAGACCTGCCCACGGACACGGGCATCCTGCTGCTCAATGCCAACCGCCTGGTATCCCTCTCCACCGCTGCCTTCCTGCCCCTCACCCAGCTGCAGGACCTCGACCTGGCTGACAACGGGCTGGCGACTCTGCACACCGGGTCCCTGCTGCCATCCCTGAGGGAGCTGATCCTCTCCCACAATGCGCTGGGGGCCCTGCCCGCCCTGCAGGGCCTGCCCGCGCTCACCCACCTGGCTGTGGCCCACAACAGACTGGTGACGCTGGCCCCGGGGGCTTTCCACGCTGTGCCACGGCTGCAGGACCTGGACCTGCGAGGGAACCGGCTGCGGACGCTGCCCCCGGAGGCCTTTGTGGGGCTGAGGGCACTCAAGTACTTGGACCTCTCGGACAACCTCCTGGAGGAGCTCCCCAAGGAGCTGCTGCAGGATCTGCAAAAGCTGGAGACCCTCTGGCTCTCAGGGAACCGCCTGCAGACCCTGCCCACCGACTTCTTCCCTGAGGGGCACCTCTTTGCGTACGTCTTCCTCACCGAGAATCCCTGGCATTGCGACTGCGACCTGCGCTACCTGCGGGCCTGGATCTGGCAGAATGATGGCAGCGTCTATCAGCCGGAGAGGGGCCTGGAGAAGACAAAGGTGGAGGTCGCCCCTGAGAAGGTGCTGTGCCACAGCCCCCCTGAGCATTGGCGGAAGCCCATCATCCACTTCAAGCCCAACTGCGGCAACTTGGGGGATGCGGATGAGGAGGAAGAGGGTGAATACGATGATGGGGAAGAAACGATGGAGAAAGCTACCATGATCTTCCCCCCTCATCCACCAATCGCCAAAGAGCACACTACCATGCCCCATGCTGTTACCTGGCCTCCCCTCACTACCACAAGACCTCCCCTCAGCACCCCTTGTAGCTCCAGCCTCGCCCCAAGCACTTTGCTTGTGATGCCTGCAAGCACCAGAGCTCCCAGCACCACTACTCCTCCGTCAGCCAGTCCCACCGTCACACCCACACAGACCTCCAGTGCTGCCGCTGTCCTCATTGCTGCTTCCACCAGCACCCCGCACAGATCCGCCACCCTCGTCTCCACCACTTCACTGCCAACCACTGTGAGCACCAGACCTCCCAGCACCAGCAGCCGTCCCCAAACCATCCTCGCCGCCAGCACTACCAACACCTATGCCACTCTCATGGTGTCCACTGGTGCGTTTTCCACCACCTCCACGGCAGTGCCTTCTACTGCCACGCTAAAGACCTCTTCCATTGTCAGATCATTTCCTCCTCTGACATTGACCACACCGGTGGTCTCCACCACCGTGCTTTCCACTCATACCCCAATGCTGCCAGCTCCCCTGGACACCACACGCTTCTCCCAGCCTGCACCTTCCCCTCCACCCGCACCTCTCCCCCTCTGCCCGTGCTCCACCCCAGGACTGGCCGTACCCATGCTGCACTCGCAGGCAGGTAGGGAGAGTCCACAGTGGGGGCAGTGGGTGCTGAGGCATTGCTGCCTATTGCACTGGGTGCTCTACGTGGCCTCCTTGGCTCTGCTGGTCCTGACCATGGTGGCTCTAGCAGGCTGGCTGGCATGGATGTGTCTGGTGGGATGGCCCTCCTGGCACAAGTCCTTGCAGACCGAAGAGGTGCAGTATCCGCTGCTGAGGTGGAGGCAGTCAACAGGAAGCCCTGTGATGCATCTCAGCAGCTTCAAAAGCCCCCTCCAGCGTCCTACATTCTGTACCATCAAGGAAGTAGAGTTGTGCCCTGAGGTCACTTACTGCACGATTAAAGACCTGGGGATACAGCGCAGTCCTCCTGCAAGTACCTCCTTCTGCACCACGAAGGAGCTGTGGATCCACCACAGTCCTCTGAATGCCTCATTCAAGTCCTTCTCCAGGAAGCTGATGGTCACAAACCTCAGCTCCCTGAGGACCCCTTCTGCTTACAGCCTGGACAGGGGTGTCAAGGCCATCGGTAATGTCAGAGTGAAATACGCTGGCAATACCTTGTAAATGCTTCTGTACGTTCAGAGAAAGATGGAGGATTGTGACTCTGCTTCACGTACCCTTGTTTTACAAGGGAAAGATCTGCTTGCCCAGGGGGAAGCCACCCAGCTCCTTCCCCTAGCATTACTCTCACACACTTTGAAGTTTGTAGATCTGAAATAATTACTTGGGTACTTGGCAGGGGGAGAAGATGTCCTAAACTGGTCAGTGATAGTTTGGGGCTGACACTGCCTGGTTTCGGGGTGAATGTGGGAAAGCAGAGCTTACTTTGTACTCTATGTCCCAACTGCTTCTGTTCGAATGATGCACATAAAGATGTGCTATGCTTTCAACTCAGTGCCAGGTTGTTAATCACAGAATAAATATTCTCCTTGCCTGAATTTTAAATGGGTGCTAGTTTCATTTCATTGGATCTCCCATATTGCTGGCATGGTACAGTGAGTGACAAAATTGTCTTCAGTACTTGGAATAGTGAAGATAGAAAGGAAAAGTCCACTTATAACCAGCTTCCAGACTTTTGCCCCAAAGGTACGATCCTTCACTGTGGGATTGAATCATATGGGAAAAGTATCCCACTGCATGTTCCACTGTCACGTAATAAGTTCAGGAAACAGTAGGTGTCAATGCCTCTGCATGACCCATCATGGGATGGCTGGAAATGGAGGAGGGTGGGAGGCTTCAGAGGTAACTTGTAAGGGATCACACTAGGACGAAATGTCCAGGGGCTGGCCAAACTTTGTGATCACCTGTGCAGAAATCATCCAAACATTTTGGGAGGTGTGAAAAGGAGACAGAGGGGGTCATTGTCGTTGGCGCGGGTCAAATGTCAGGCCGCCAGCACTGGTGCACAAATGCAGTGACTAGATCATATGAATCACTGTTGCAGTCTCAAACGCTGTTCCAGTTCTAACTGTCCCAAATATATCATCCAGCTACTGTGGGTCAGCACGATTAGTTAATTGGTCCACAGAAGGGTATGTGTGCCTGTGCTTCACCAGCTGAGGTACGCATCCTTCTATGCAAGTGTGTCTGCTAGTCAAGCTCACGTGTGCTAGTGCATCTGTGGACACCCAAGCTCTGCATTTGTAAGCAAGCATTTGTCTGTGTGTTGGTGCTGTCCTCTGACCCCACCATACTCTCTTCCTCTTTCCTGGGACAACAGGAACAGCCCCAGAGACCCCAAATTTGACCCAGAATCCCTCTGAACAACTCTAGAGATAATTGCAACAGCCCAAGAGACCTCGGCTACCCTCAGAGCATCCAAGGGACACATGGATGGCCTTGAGGAGACCCCAGAGAGCCCTATCACTTCAGTTTGAACTGTTTCTTTACATTGATTTTTTTACTTTATCAGACACTTTTACTACATCTTGGGACATTTTTCAGCCCCTTCTGGTCTTATATAGCAATGTCGGTGATTAAGGATGCCTTTTCGTGTTTTGTAACACTGCTGTTTCTCACATTCTTGTGCTTAGGCTCTGTGGTGGGGCAGCAAGCGTCAGCTCTCACCTCTCCAGGAGCTTTGACTTCCTTTTGACACTTCTCTCACAATGTCATGGCATCCAAGTTAGGCCATCAAGCTCTGAATGGCTGGAGAAGTGGACAGGTAAAAAGTGGTGTGAAGGTTACGACCAGTGGCTAGTGGTTAATGGATCATACTCCACTGTGGTGCTGGTAACATGTGGAGTACTATACAGTGCTGTACTGGAAACTCTTCTGTTTAACATCTTTATCAATGGTGGTGGTGGAGGAGGAGGTGGTGACCAAGTGTGCTTTTGTCATGTTGGCAGATGACACCAGTTGGGAGGGATCAGTTTGCATGCTTCCAACAGGACTACCATTCAGGAAGCACCATTCACCCTGGAGAAATGGGTTGACAGAAACCTGATGAAAGTCAACAAGGACAAATGTAAAGTCCTGTACCTTGGAAGGAAGGCCACGACAATGCCGGTGGGGGACAGACTGGCTGGGGAGCAGAGTTACAGAAAAGGACCTGTGTGTCTTGATCGACAGAAAGGTGAACAAGACCCAGCACTGCACCCTGGCAGCAAAGAGAGAACAACAGAAGCTTGGGCTGGGTTAACATGAGCATAACCAGTAGACCAAGGGAAGTGATTATCCCGCTCTGCTCAGCACTCATTAGACCACATCTAAAATACTGTTTTGGGGAGCCATGAGAACATGCAACCCTCCCCTACACATCCCAGGACCCTCAATTCCATCCCAGGACCCCAGTATCTCCCAGAATCCCCATTACCTCCACCTCTCCTTGCAAGTCCTCCCTAGGAATCTCTCACCTCTCCACACAACAAGCACTCCAGGTCACTGTAGGAAGCCAAGAGCTCCCAGAACCACCTAGGAACCCCAAAGCCCCCAGGACCCCCCATGCTCCCCATCTACCCTGCCATCTACCCCAAAATCCTGGTGTCCCAGGACTCTCCTATTCTCTCAGGATCCCCCATGCACCCCAAGATGCCTTTCAATCCCGAGACACACACAGCCTCCCCTATGCCCAATGAAAGCAGGTACCAAGAGCCTCAGTGACCTCCACCCACTGCTCCCCAGGGGACCCAGGAATCCAGGCAATTCTGGTCCCCACCACCCCCCATCCAGGACACTCAGGCCATTGGTCTCCTGCTCATCTCCTGTTCCTTGCAAGAAGCACCTGGATGTCTGGGCTCCCCAGCAGAAACAACAAGACCCAGATGGGCAGTTCAGGAGCCACTTTTATTCAGCCCAAGTGGGGAGAGGAAATTGGGGGATTCCCCAAGTCCCAGTGAAGGGGTTAGGGCAGGGGAGTGAGTATTCCTGGAGGCACAGGGTTGCAGTGTGGGGAGTCTTTGTGTCCCATGGGGTCCCCACAGTCTAGGGCATGTACCCTGGGAGTGGGGGGGTTGCAGGAAACCACAGGAGGAACCCATTGTGGGGAAGGGATCTGGGGAGGGGATTTTGTCCCATAGAGATGCCCATGGATGCTACCTGGGGATCCCAGTATGGGGTGCAGAGCTTTTAAGCCCCCCTAAGTATTATTGGGGGTGTCAGGTGATCTCGAGGGGTACTCAAGGCAGTTGGGGCCACGCAAGGCAGGGGGTACAGTGAGGACACAAGCCTGGAGGTCAGTATAGGCATGGGGCAAGGTGCCCCGGGTGATCCAGCGCCGGGTGCCCGGCTGGTAGGCATGGATCAAGTGAGTATCCTGGTAGGTCTCATGACTGTACCCTCCCAGTACGAGCAGCTCCCCTCCCAGCACAGCTGCACCCCCAACTACATGGGCATGGGGCAGGGGGCTGAGGAGAACCCAGATGTCCAGCTTGGGGCTGTAGACCTCAAAGGCCAGCTGGTCCCTGTAGCCAGTCTGCCCATCTCGCTGGCACAGCCCCCCGGCCACATAGAGCTGCCCACCTGCCTCCTCCATGATGTGCCCAGCTCGCTGGCCATTCATGGGGGACAGGAGCGTGGCAGGCGCACCCGGGATGTAGCGCAGCATGGCTGCCTGGCACTGGCACGCCTCATCACAACCCCCTGACACGTAGAGGGCACCATCCAGGGCACACGCCGCAAGCCCGCACAGAGCCATCGGCAGGGGCTGGCACCTCCTGGGCAAGGAGAGAGGGAGAGGGTGAAGGGCAGGTTAAGCAGGGATGGTGACTGCCCACCCGCCCAGGAGTTCCCGGGTGAGGCATGGCTCCATTGACCACTCAGCAGTCAATGCTGGCCAACACCCAATGAGCCCCAGTGGGCAGCATCAGCTAACACATAATGGATGCCCAAGGGCCATCACTGTTCAACACTTTGTAGACCCCAAAAGACACCGTTGGTCAACCCACAGTGGACTCCCTAATGGACAATATTGGCCAACACCCAACAGAGCACCCAATGAACATAGCTGCAAGATGTTTAAATGATTTGTCTTATTGGCAGATGGCCAACAGACCCTCAGTGAATACTATTGGCCAAAAACTTATTCACCACCCAATAGGCATCACTGGCCAACACCCAATGACCTCCAAGGGACATGGTTGCTCAACACCCAGTAGACCTCTCCCAAAGGCCACTCCATTTGGCCCGTTCTCCATTGGAGGCTCAGTGACCCAAAAAACACTCAATGGGCACCACCGGCCAATGCAAGGGGCTGCTAGGGCATAGGAAAGCAGGTGTCCATGTGGAGCAGCCTCACCTCCAGGTGTCGTTGGCCAGGTCATAGCACTCTACAGTGTCTGTGCAGTAAAGCTCCCCCGAGCTGCCCCCCAGGGCATAGATGAAATCCCCAAGTGCCACAGCGGCAAAGTAGCTCCGCCCACAGGTCATGCTGGCCAGGCGCTCCCAGGAATCATCCATAGGCTGATACCTGGGTTTGAAACATAAAGGGGCAAGAGACTACCTGTTACCTAAATGCCATGAGGTGATGTTGGGACTGCTGAGGGCAACAACCCACCTACAACCAGCCAATCCCATAATGCCTTGGGGCCACATGGTCTCCTTGCATGGGAATATCCCCTCCTTCTGGGCAATACCAAACCCATAATGCCCTGGGGCATCTCCAAATAGGAGCCTCCCTGCCCTACTCCCAAAAAGCCTGTAACATCCCAGAGTGGAAGGGCACCTCCCAGTCCTACACCCAACCAATCCCAGAATGCCTTGGGGCCACTTGACCAACTACAATGCCACAATGCCATGGGGCAGCTCTAGCTCCACCAACACCTCCTCTGATCCCACAGTGTCCTGGTGCTACACGGCACCTCTAGGTCCTCTGTAGCCCTCACCTGTAGACACTGGCCAGGGTGTCATGGACCCCGTAGTAGCGCTTTCCACCCAGGATGTAGAGGATGTTGCCCACCACAGCTACAGCATGGCGGAAGCGTGGACCATCAGGAAAGTGCCCCAGTGCTCGCCACTCCACCTGCTTCACCAGCCCGACAGCACTGAGGTAGCGGTGGGCAAACCAGAGGTGTCTGCTGGGCTTCCGGGCAGCCAGGTTAGCCGTCAGTTTGTCTCCACCACAAACCACCAGCACCTCTTGCAAGCAGCGTACCCGGCATGGCAGCTGGGCCATGGGGGTCAAACTTGCTACCACGAGCTCATGGAGGACCTTTGGGTCAGCTACCCCTGCAGACACTGATGGGACCTTCTTCAGCTCCCAGCTGGACATGAGGGCAAAGCGAACAGATGACAGGACTTCCTTGGCTAGATCTCCTTGGCGATCTCCATTGGCCATAAGCCACCGGGATGCTGCTTCCAAAGCCTCCAGTTCATGGAGGACATTGAGACCGTCAGAGCGCAGGAGGCGGATGAGAAGGTGTGCAGGAAGATCCAAAAAGGCTGGTGTGGCCACCACGCTGGGGAAGGTGGCCAAGATGTAGTCTTCTGCTACGCGGCCCACCTGGGTCAGCCCATAAGCCATAGCAAATGCCAGCACGTCCAGGCCAGTTTCTGGGGTCAGGCCATGGGTGAAAACATCCAGGCAGAGGGTGAGGAGCCCCC